TTAAAAGCCAAAATTTCAGCAGATTATTAATTGTGTGGCAATTTTAATTAGAGAAATTTAGTAGCTGAATTTAGTTGCAATTTAAGCGGTTCATTAGGAATCAATTCATTTAATATTCGCATTAAAATTAATTTTAATGTTCATTCCGCTTAATTGATGTGGCAAATATATAGTTTCTATCGAGAGAGCTGGAGTTGCTGGAGCAAACAGAAGCAGAAACGGAAACAACAACAGAATCAGAACGGAAATAAGCAGCTTTTGACTTACGGCAAAATGGATGCCATACAAGGGTGACTGTGAGTGTGCCTGTGTGTAGTGTGTGTGTGGTAAAAAGGCAAGGAGAGAGAGAGAGAGAGAAGGGGGAGAGTGGAACTGGAACTGGAGTAACATCTGGCGTTGCCCTGTCCGATTACAAAAACATCAACACTTAATATGTTTATTAAATTTGTTGCTACATCATTAGGCACTAGCAGCCATGTAATGTGAGGCAAACACTTCACATGTGCCCCATGTCTCTTTGCGTACGTGTGTGTGTGCCAGAGTACTTGTGTGTGTGTGTGTGTGTGTGTGTGTGTTGGTGTAACGAATCCTGCATACACATACATATACCCTAAGACCCGTAAAATCAACACAAGAAGTGGAACTAGGCTAGGGCTGTTCAGCAAAATAGGGAAAAAATTAAAAATAAAATATATAAAGGTAAATAATTTGTAATAATTAAAGCTTATAATAATATAGAATATATTATAATTAAAGATATATTTATAGCTAACAAGAATATTTAAAATTTTATATAAAATCCTTGAAAATGTAATCTCAAAATTAACTTCATGGATCAGCGATATTTAAGCTCAAACTAAATATAAACCCTTCGACTTATGCATTATCTTTATGATTCAAGATTTAACCACAACCTTGAATATTATTACCATAAATTACCTTGCCAATTATCAAATTAATTTCCATATCAAGTGAAAGCCAATTGAAATCAGTTTCCTGCTGCTGATGATAATAATACATAGTGCGGCTTGCATTAGTTTCTAAAAGCCAAATTCTGTTGCGGTTTTACAAGCACTTGAGACTGTCAGAAATCGGGGGTTTATATAGTTATATATACTTAAATACTTATATCTAATTGGAGTCTGTTGGGTAGCTAGCCGCAGTTCCGGGATCGAGGGCATCTGAGGTTCGGCGGTGGTTCTAAGCCGACTTTTTGTTGAATGTTGTGCCAATGCCCTGTGCACACAGTTAGGCACACACAAGCACATCCAGATGCTCGCACACACACTCAAGCACACACACACACACACACACACACGCACACGGAGGAGTGTATTAGACGTTTGTCTCCTGAACGATGGAGCTAGATGCACCTATAGCAAGGCAGGCAGAGAGTCAATCATTGACCTGACTTTCGCCAGCCCGGAGCTCTGCCGGCCCAGCCACTGGAAGGTCACGGATTTGCTCACATACAGCGACCACGCAGCCATTATCACCCAGACGACGCACAGCCAGCAGAGCCCGTCTCTCCGGCAATCTGCGTACAAGGTACACACCCTTAACGCAGACACACTCCTAAGCAGTATGGATGGCAACGTCATCACTGGCGACGCCAACACCTGCGCCGGCATATTATCCGCGAGAATCAAGGCTGCTTGTGATGCCGCCATGGCGAGCTCCACTAGAGGAAATGGAAGGAGACCAGTCCCCTGGTGGAATCATGAGATATCCGTCGCTAGGAGCGAGTGCCTCTCTGCAAGGCGAAGATGTCAACGAAGTAGAGGGCGTCCCACGCAAGCGCTGTTCGAGACACGCTACAAGGAGAAGAAAAAAGCCCTCAAAATCGCTATTAAGACGAGTAAGAGCAGGTGCTTCCAAGAGCTGTGCGATGCAGCAGACCAGGAACCCTTCGGCTCGGCCTACAAGCTGGTCATGGGCAAACTCTACAGACCGCCGACTCCAACCTCCCAGGAACAACTTGGAGCTATAATCTCCACGCTGTTCCCGTCGCAGCCGCCCCTCGTGCTGCCAAACATAGCTGCGAGTGAAGCGATCTTCACCAACGAGGAGGAAATACTGTGCGCGTTGGCCAGCAGCAAGGCAGCCAAAGCCCCGGGACCCGATGGCATTCCCAACGCTGCACTTCATGCCATAATGAAGTCATTCCCAAGCCTATTTGCACAGGTATACAACAGGTGCATTGCGGAGCGCACTTTTCCAAGAGTATGGAAGCAGCAGAGACTGGTGCTTATCCCTAAACCAGGCAAAATGAATGACGACCCGTCCTCATATCGCCCCCTGTGCATGCTCAACACACTGGGGAAGATATTTGAGCGCATAATCTGCAACAAGTTGGAGAGAGAGATCGAAGAGCGTGGAGCTCTATCGAATCAGCAGCACGGTTTCAGGAAGAAGCGGAGCACGATCGACGCGATACGAGAGGTAACGCTAATGGCAGCAAACGCGATTGAAGGCGAAAGATGGCAGGGAGGCACCAAGCAATACTGCCTGGTCACCACCCTAGATGTCAAAAACGCTTTTAACTCAGCAAATTGGAGCTTAGTCCTGCAGGCACTCCAACACGGCGGCATATCAGGGAACCTCACCCTCCTGATAGCGGACTACTTCAAAGATCGCGTCCTTCTGTACACATCCGACGACGGCAACCAGATGCACCACGTGACAGGTGGTGTACCCCAGGGATCTGTTCTTGGGCCAATCCTGTGGAACGTCATGTATGACGGGATCCTGAGACTTCCACTACCAGATGGCTGCGCCGTAGTAGGGTTCGCTGACGATATAGCGCTGGTCACGGTGGAGAAGCACCTGTCCGATGTCTCTGCTAAATGCAGCATTGCAATCGACATGATGATGTCTTGGCTGAAAGACAACGGTCTCTCGCTCGCCGAACACAAAACGGAAGCAGTGCTCATAAGCAGTAGAAAGACCGTAGAGAAGGTCACCTTCCGGGTCGGCTCGACATACGTCGAGTCCAGTCCGGCGATCAAGTACCTCGGAGTCATGATCGACCATAGGCTGAATTTTAAGAGCCACCTGGAGTACGCAGCGGCCAAGGCATCTAAGGCCACTGCCGCTATCTCTAGGATGATGGCCAACACCCGTGGCCCAAAGCAGCATAGCAGACGATTAATAGCTACAGTGGTGACCTCGACCATCTTGTACGCCGCGCCGATTTGGGCGGAAGCCATGAGGACTGTCAGCTACAGCCGGCAGTGTAAGTCTGTCTACAGACGCTGCGCTTTGCGCATCTCGAGCTGCTTCTGCACGGTGTCAGAAGAAGCTGCATTGGTGGTGTCGGGAGCAATCCCAATAGACCTACTGGCAGAGGAGCGCAGGACTGGGAACTCAGGTAGCAGAATCCAGAGAAGCAGCACCATGGCTCGATGGCAGGATAGATGGAACAACGCGAGCACAGGACGATGGACCTACAGGCTCATCCCCGATCTGGTTCCCTGGTTGCAGAGACGACATGGTCAGCTGGACTACTACACCACGCAGATTATCACAGGACATGGTTGCTTCAAGGCCTACCTCCACAGGTTTAAGCATGAGGTCGACCCGTACTGCGACTACTGTGGCAGCGCTTTTACTGAGGACGCGGAGCATGCATTCTTCGTATGCCCCCTATTCTCGGCGGAACGAGCCGCGCTGGAAGCGGCAATGAACTGCCGCCTGACACCCGACAACTTAGTCGGTTGCATGTTGGAGACCCCCTCCAAATGGAATGCGGCTGCCGAAATGGCAGCAACCGTGATGCGAGAGCTGAGGCGCCGGGAGCAGACCCGTCGCACCGAAGGCGACCGATGAGCGGCAACAGGACCGCCAACCGCCCCCGTGAAGTATAGCTTTGCGGCAGTCCCACGGGTGCGGACTTTCCACCCTATCCATCCTCTGTAACATATGTATTTAAGCCTATATTCTTTTCAATAAAAAAAAAAAAAAAAAAAAAAAAAACACGGAGGAGTGTTTTGTGCGATGCTTTGGGCTACTTTGCATGGGCTTAATGATTGTTGTTTGGGTGCAGTTTCAGTTACAGTTGCAGTTGCTCAGCTAGAAAGAGACGGCACAGGGCCATGGAGAAAGAGAGGGAGAATAAGCCACAGGGAGAGGGAGAGTGCGGGCAAGCGAGCGAAAGTGGAAAGAAGCGAATTAAGGCTTTAAAAAAAAGCATTGCCTACTTTTTGGCATGCCACATTCATACTACGGGTGCTATTTAAAGGCATAATTAAGAGGTTAACATAAAACATAGGTCTTTTAAGAAATAAAAACAAGTTTTTCAAGTTTTTATTAATTAATTAATTTATTTCTTTGTTAATAAAGACAATATTATGGGTAAGTATTTGGCAAGGAAAGATTTCTAGAAGAACTTGGGTTTTATTATAATTTTTAAAAGTTTAAAACTCAGGAAAGGAGTCCTTTTAGATCCTAAAAACTATATGTATTTTTGATTAGCTATAACTAGAAAAATTCTAAATATAAATATAAATGTTTTTAAAGCCTAATAAATATATGCTTTTCGCCCTTGTTTCTTGCTTTTTCTCGCTTTTAGTTTTGCCTTTTACAAAAAGTTATGCGCATTATTAAAAATAATAACGAGAAAAGGAAGCTAAGCTTTACCAGGCAGCAGAAGTTTGTATACTCTTCCTTTCTGGTGAAAATAAAATTCAAAGTAAATATAATATAAAGGTTACAGTGGTTAATTGTAATTTCAGCATTCTAAAATTACAAAACGAAGGTATTTTTACTGCAAAGAAACCTTATGCTTAGTGTAATTTTAATACTTTCTTCAAGGGTATGCAAAAAAAAAAATACAGCGCGCTTTCGCTGCATAAATTTGAATACTCATGATTCTTATTAAAATAATAAAACGCAAGGCTACCGTCACATACACAGACACCAGACATTACCTTTATATGGAAATAGACACTTGAACTGCATTATACTCAGGCATTTCCCATTTCCTTTTCATTTCCTTGCAGCGTCGGCCGGCAGTGAGGTAATCGCCAATCGCCCCAAGCCAACCGATGAATCGCTGGCAATTCCGCCAACTTGGCTTACTCCTGCGGACACGCCCCCGGCATTTACCCGCCGCCCCTTTCGCGAGGAGGACGTGGCCGAGGGTGAAAGGCCTGAGGAGAGCTGGCGGGATACACCACCACTGACCATCTCCAGGCCGCCGAGAGCGGGACGAAGCGAGCGTCAGGCGGCGGAGGAGGACCAGGTGGATCGCTGCCGGCTCTTCGTCGAGGGGGATCCCACCAAGAATGAGCTGTACAGCCCCGAGTATCCCAATCTCTATCCGAAGAATATAAATTGTACGCGGGTGATAACAGGTGAGTTTTGTCCTGGGTTAAGAAGTATTTCCATATAAAACTGATTATATATAAATTAAATTATAAATTCTATACAAATATTATTAAATTGGGTGATAAATATTTAATATATTCACATTAATATCGTTTTAAGGAAAGGTTTCATAATTAATCGGAATAACAGCCTAAAGCCTAAGTAGCTATGGCTCCCATCTGTTGCTTTAGTTTATAACTTTAAGTATACAGAATGTAAATAAAAAAAAAAAAAAAATAATCGGAATAAATTTGACTTTTGTTTTGATAACGATAACGATAGTCTAAAAAACGAGTATAAATCGATTAGTGAATATCGACGCCTCTTTTCTCCCATCACTAAGCCAATGTAAGCCAATTTTATTCAAAAGCGAGCATAACTTGTGTTGAATTCAACTGAAAACTTGATGTGTCTGTCTTACCGAAACAATTGATTCAAGTGAAAGGTTAACCACAGGCTATAAGTTTGCAAAGAAAAGCTTTTCCAAGGCAATATCCAGAGATATTCTTTGGAATTTTGACATAGGTAATTGAACAAATAATAAACAATTTAAATTAAAATCAAAAACCAATCAAAGCAGGTCAAGAAAAAAGACGTGAAAAAACTCTATAACGAGGAGTTATCAAAAGAATCCAGGACACCCAATTACCTTCAAGAAGGAGTACCCCCCTAAACATTTCGAGTCCACAAATAAATGGAGAACAATAGGAATCCAGCTGATCAGTGGGTCAACGCTGAGGTGGGGCACAGCCTCGGGTTGACGAAAACAACAATCCGATTGTTGAGGAAATCCCCTTTGGCGGTGACAATTTCCATCACTTTGAATTCTACAGGATGCAAGAAAATCGATTGACCGCGAAGCGACTTGCACTCCAGAACAGATCCGATTTTCCTGGCATGGTGCCCTGGGTGCGGACCAAGTTGTGGCTGAAGGACATGGAGTATAACTATTATACCCGAGAATTTCTAGAGTCGTATGCCAACAGCTTGGGCCTAAGTGTTGTGAAGGCTCCGGGCTCTGATTGTTTGTCGCAGGAGGGGGAAGAACGGTTTCTATACAACCCGCAAGGAGGCTATATTCTATTTGGAGTGTAAAAAATATGTTCAAAATAAGCGAGCTAATGGCAATAACCAATAACTGAAGCTAGTACTGCTTAAAAATGGATGTTGACTTTAGATTTTTAATTTATTTTTTTCATTTATTGATGTAGATTAATTTGTAGCAGGAGAAACATATTGAAATATATATGTGGACACTTGACATGCCATTGTCTTCGAAGCTTGCGAGTCCCTTCTGGTTTCATATTCATGACAGTCACTTGACTCATTCCTGCGGATTATCTCCGGCTAGGCAATTAGCCATCAGTCTGCTATAATACAGTAGTATCTGTAACTGAGTTCCACAAAGACAAATACGAACTTTGAGGGAAGCCTGTTGCTGAGTGGACGGATACACACAGAAAAGAAACAAGTTAAGTTTAATTCCGAGATTTTTCTAAATACTAAATACGAACTTGTATTATTTTATTAATCAATCAAGTCACACAGTGTATTAACTCCAGATAGTATATAGATTTAAGATGCTCTTCAATACTATTAAGGCATTTTTTTCTTCAAGTGTGAGTGGAGTGAAGTGCAGGCCTCGTAAAAGTTTATATGGCAAGCACTTGGCGGCGACGAGCCAGCGAGCGAGCGCTACTGCAAATAATTGCAAAGTCTTTGGCCAAGTCTTGGTTGGCTGTTGACATTACCAGATGTCAGTCAGTCAGTCAGTCAGTCGGTAGGAGTGGGAGTGGGAATGGGAAAGGGAACCAGTGAACCGGAGGCATTAGATGGCGCTGATGCGTAAGATGCTCCACACAGATTCTCCACATGGCAGGGCCGTTCTGTGTGGCCCATTTAAAAGCGTTAGCACTCCCATTTCCCCACCACTCGCCCAGCTCTTCTACCATTTTCCATTTCTCCATTTACCATTTCCCCAGCCCCTATAATACGATCCCTCTCTCTATTGGGGATTGTGCCGGGGCGCCATCATATTTGAGCACTCGCTTCACTGCCTCCGGGAACTGGGAACTGGGATGCTTGGTTGTTCGGATGCTGGAGAAATTCTCCAACTCTGAACTCAACTCGAATGCTGCTTATGTTATCTAAAGTCGGTGGGAGGCCAAATCATTTGTCAGTTAAGACAAAATAATGTCACTGCAAAAGTCAAGAGCTGACAGATAAAACCTGAAAGCGAATGATTGACTTTCCATAAGCACGCATCAGCGGTCTCCCCAGTATATGAATCCACAAATATGTCAGCATATGTGGATGCTTCCAGGAACCCAGTATCCCTTCATCCCTGCCTCCCTTCATCCTCTGCCACCAGCAATCCCGTTTGTGTTCAGCATTAGGGGTCGTTCGTACTAGCTTATTTGCATATCAGGGCCATGTTAATGTTGAACTAAGCGGGGGCCAACAAAAAAGGCAGCAGCCAGATGAGGCTCGGTTTATGGCCGGGTCCGGGTGGGTCTCCCTCGCTCCCTCCGCCAGGGATTGCAGTCGTAAAAGTGTTGCGGTTACACGGCGGATCCGAGGAGAGTTGAAAGTTGTTCGGAAAGCAGCTGAGAGCTGGAACCATCAGCTTATTTGTATATGCGAGGTTTCTGTATAGTTTATCCAGTTAGCAGCTAAACAGGAAACTTCTGTTGGCCAGTAATCGTGGCTCTGGACTTTAATATACCCTTCACCCCAGTCTAGTCTAAGACCAAGGCCAATCGCTTCTTTGCCACTTTCATTACTTGTCCATCTCCTTTATGGGTGTGCGAGCGTGTGTGGGTGTTAATGTCTGGACAATTGATGGTGTGTTGCCAAGGTGGCCGGGGGAAAAAGCGTATTTTCAAATGCCCAGAATCAGCCAGAACCGCCAGAACCACATTGCCATTGATTCACGCCGAGTATTGGTTGCTTGAATATGTATGACCCGCAATGTGAGTGTGAATGAATGAATGAATGAATGAGTGTGGGTGTGTGTCCAGCATCTTGATGCATTCTTCTTCTTTTTATGCCTCCACTAAATGGGTCCCCAGATGCTTTCATTTGCTCTATATATATGTATATATATGCTAGATTGGGTCTTGTCCTTTCACTTTCACGCTTTCCTTTGACCCCGAGGGATATATGCATGTGTAGGTCCTAGGTGGTAGAGGGTTAAGTGCTGGAATCCCAGGCCTACATTTGAATATTTTTATTGGCCATCGTGAAGTTGAGGCTTGTTTACTTTTGGGATAGTTATAGATGATTTATTATACTAAACAAAATATATTTATTAATAAATTAAAGATTAAAAACCCCTCTAGACTCTAAATATTTTTAAAATTTTAGTGCATTTACTCTTCGGTCTTCCGAAGTTCCACGCAGCCACAGCCACAGTCCCGGCTTCTGCCGCTGAAGCCGAGCTGAGCTGTTGTTAATCAGTTTCCCGGCCCCGGGGCCATTTGACTTTAAGTAAGCTGGGCGGGATTGGCAGGTGCCATGGCTACGTGGCGGTAACTGGTTTTGTGAAGATGAAATAGCTGTGTGTACTAACGTGTTGGCTGTTATGTCCACGGCATCTAATTACAGCGCCAAAGGGACAAATCATACGCCTGGACTTTCGCAACTCGTTCAATATCGAGGCCAAGGAGGAGTGCAAATTTGATTTTCTCGAGGTAAGTAAAGCGCAACTGGTAACTGAGACACAATCACGGATACACAGAGACGAAAAGCTAACAATTTTATATAAAACAAAGTGAAAAATAAATGGTTATTTATAAATAGAAAACAAAACATTTCCCTTTTGACTAAAAATCTATGAATTTCGATAGCCACACTTTTCTCTCTCTGTATGGACCATAAGCCACTTCTAAAAAGGGTCAAGGCATTAAAAACACAAACTTTGTTGCAGGCTGCATAAAAAACAAGGAGAAGCGAATGGAAAACTTGCTTAGTTGCTCCGGCTTTTCCGGGGTCTTGGCAAAGTTTTCGATTTGTTTCCTTTGCGACTTTTCCTTGTTGCACCAAAAAAATGGCAACTTTTAATTGAATGTTGTCTCTGGCGCTGCTCGTAGTAAGCCTGATTTGAATGCGCAGCCCCGGCCAAATCGGTTTAGGCTAAGAAAAACTGCCGACTGCCGACTGCCGACTTAAGACCAACGTAAAGAAAATGTTCCCATATCCTTGCAGATCCGAGATGGCCAGTATGGGTTCTCCACGCTAATTGGTAAATTCTGTGGCACTGACTTCCCGCCAGAGATTACCTCAAAGGAGCGCTACCTGTGGCTGCACTTCCACTCGGACGAGACCATCGAGTACACGGGCTTCAGTGCCGTGTACGAGTATCTGGATAGGAATCGGGAGGCTCCAAGCACCGATCTCAACTGTACCATTGAAAAGGATGGCTATGAGGGGTTCATTAACTCTACAGACGTGCCGGCGGACATACGGGAGCAGGTCATACGCAACAAGATCGCATTGGATTGCATCTGGCGGATACAGGTCAGGGAGAACTGGAAGGTGAGCTTATATTACACATTAAACTAAGGATAAAAGCAATTTATAATATTTTATTTTTGTGATTTTCCCCACAGATCTTTCTCAAGTTCCTGGACTTTAAGCTGAGCAAGCCCAACGACTGCGAGACGAATTTCCTGGACATTTTCCCCGAGCAGACTGTGATGCCATTGAGGTGAGTGTTCGATACGCTGCTTAATCGCATTTCGCCCCAAAAATTTTACAGCGCTGACAAATTGCAGTCTTCGGTGGCGTATACGCAATATTCGTGATGTCGTATACGCAACGCCGCAAACCAATTTCCGCATTGCCCAAAAGGCGAGAGATCAAAGCCCTGGTCTTGTCGTCCTTTGGCCTGGAAATGTAAAGGCAATGGCGAATGGGGAATGGGGAATGGGGTCCTGGGCCAAGGCAAAATTTTCAATTTATTACCGGCCAAAAGTAAATTGTACCGCCAGCGGAAGTGGCATTGCCTTTGACTTGCACAACCAATCTCCTTGGTCTCGCTTCCCCATTTTACCATCTCCTGGCTGACTCAATGATGGACTGAGCGATTGAGCAACGGAGCAATTGACTCTCGGCATCTTCAACACGCATTGACATCCGCTTTTAACGCGCCAATACATTTCCACTTGTTGCTGCCTCTACTGTTGCTGCTCGGGACAACACTCAAATTGATTGACTGGCATTTTCAGCTTTTCGGAAAATGTTAAAGGCGAATGGCGAATGGAAAATTCTGTGGCCTGTGGCAGCCCCTGTCCTTTTTCGGTTCTCGGAAGCCACTGATTTGATGCTGTCTTTGCTGCCTTTGCTTTCATTTAAATTCATTTTTCGTAACAATTTATCGCACACGACGGGTCGCAACTGTGCCTGCCATTGAAACAATAACCGGCGAAATGAACATAAATACTGTATTCAGTGAACGTCATCATTTAAGCCATATTATAAATTATTGATATTATCGATTATGCGTGTGTCTCTGTGTGTGTGTGTGTGTGTTTGAGTGCGTGCCATCGATGACCAAATATTTAACAAATTGTCAGAGGCAACGTCGGCAAGTTGTAAAGAATCGAATCATAATCAATTGCTGGATGCTTTTTTTATAGGATTTTATTAAGTAAATGATTTTGTATTTTTATTAAATTAGAGTTGAAATTTATTACTTTAAAGCTTTTTGAAATTTTTAAAGGAATACAAAGGTGTTTTCTTTGTACATTTTTTTTTTTAATTTAAACTCATTTTTAAATGCTTAAAAAATAAGTAATACTGAAATTTAACTTTAATTTTTCTCCTTTCTGTAAATTTTCATATCACTTTTTATTTCTTTGAAATTTTAATTTATTTGTACAGCTTTAATCTAACTTCAAATGCCTAAAAAAAACAGTAATAATCGTTTTTAGCTTCCATTTTCATTTACAAGTTTTCTAGAAGGCTTCAAAGGGAAAGTTCTTGAACTAAACTTGTGACTTGCCAATTTCTTGTAAATTTTCCACTCTTTGTTATTTTTAAAATTGTTTGAAATTATTTATGTTATTTAACAATACCCTTTCTTTTTTACACATTGCAGGGTAAAGAACTTTTGCGGTTCCGCGGGCGAGAGCATCACGGCAGAGTCAAACATTTTGCACTTGCGCTTCTACGCAGATCAAATTGCGATTAACTCGACATTCGGCATTCTGTACACGGCGTTCCGGGACCGAGGAGCTGGTAAGTCCAAGCTGGAGTTCGATTCGGCAAAAGCCCTCGAATTTGGCAACAAATGGCCGGGGTGAAAAGTACAAAGGCATGCCCGAAAATCCTAGAGGGCAATCCGGTGCTAAGCTGGCCCCAAATCTCTCTCCTTTTTCGGTTGCCCATTTGACAGCTGGAGATTCTGGCGGCGAATGCGAGTGCCAGCCTAGTGTGGGGCAAGTTGCCAGTTTAACCAAGACTATCTCCAGCCAGCCACCGAATCCTATCTGGGTGTCTCTCTGTATGTCTGTCTGTCTTTCCGTCTTTCTGATTCTGAGAAATAAGCAGGAGGAACGGGGGTCCTGCGTGATTGCCGCCAGTTGCCAGAGGCAAAAGGCTAAGCACTCTTTTGTCATTCAACGATTGTCCTTTGTCCCCGGGCCAGCATTGTTTACTTTTGGAGCAGCCAGCTACTGCTGCTTACTCTCCAGGACCGAGCCTCCTGCAGCTCCTCGAGCAGCTCCCTCCTCCATCATCCCACTGCCAGGCATCGGCAATTATTGTTGTTGCTAGAGCGATTTATGCCGGAGATTACGTGCATTTGCTTTGTGGCTTCTCGCCCATCGTCGCCTTTCGATTGACGCACGGTGGAGAGTCTATCGATTTAAGGTCCTCCATTGATGGGGACTTTAAAGTCATCAGCTCACAGAGTAATGTCAAGATAAAAGTCCGACCAGATCAATTGTTTTTCAAAAAAATTAAATTCCCATTTAATCGCATCGAATCCTCTACAAACCTTTGACTACTTTCTTGAGAAACTCATTTCAAAATTTATAGTTTTTCCCCCCGAAAACAACAGCCACGAAGATGACACTCAATCGTTTTTAGACCTCAATGAAGGACCCATTGAATTGTCCGGTTTGAAAAGGGCAATGGAATGACACCATCAATTTTATGCGAAGCGATTTCAATAGAAGTCAATTGTCCATTCCACTGTGCATTTTGCGCTTTGATTGCCGTTTTAGCCAGTTTGGCTGGCTTTTCGTTTGATTTTCTTTTTTTTTTTTTCAACTTTCTCAAACTCGAAACTCTTAAACTGTATTTTTCGCATTTGGCAGCCTGCACCGAGGACGAGTACGATTGCGAGGACGCGACCTGCATATCAAAGGATTTGAAATGTAATGACCTAGACAATTGTAAATTTCGATGGGACGAGGAGGGCTGTACGGTAAGTGACACGCCTACACGGCGAGAATAAATTGTAGATCAATTATTATTTGATTACAGTCAATTTAATTTCCTAAATCTATTAGGTATGGGAATAACAACTGGGGGAAATGTAGTGGAGATTGGAGTCTCTTAGTTCTGATAAATTTTTATATAATCTGGGATTATGATTTTATATTCGATTAAAAAGCTTATTACGCTTTCCAATGATCTTAACTTTTGGTATTTTTTATACTTTAAATAAATAATAAAATTATTTAAATGTAGTTATGCTTAGTTATTTAGTGAGGAAGAGTCTTAGTTTGTTAGTTCTTAAAATATAAACCTGGGATCAAGTATTAATATTGTTTTAAAAACCCAATTATTCTGAGTAATAAACTTTACTTTTGATATTTCTTACACTTTTATTATTTTTACAATTATTTTGTAGAAAATGTTGCCATATTCTTAAGCCAGTTAACACTTTTCTGCCTAGCAACATTCCGTCAAGTTAAATTCAAGTTTTACCCATAAATTATAGCACAATTAGTCTCTTTTTTCATCAAGCCAAGGTCATTAATTCTTTTTTTGTTAAGTTAAATTATTATAGATTAGATTAGTTAAATTTATTTACCATAGTTTCAGGGCTTTGGTGGCAGCAGCCTTTAATGTTGCTCAACACATTTTTAGCTTGGCAACATTTTTCCATAAATTAAAACATAATTCGACTTATTTCAACAACATTATTTATAGGCTTTTTCAAAGCTATTTAAATTAAAAAAAAATTTAAAAACCCTTAAAATTTTAAATATAAATTACTGAAAGAATCACCCCTATTTATGCTCAGTGTATATCGCACATAAAACTCGGCCATTCGTACGTGCATCTAATTGTAGGCGAACCCGTTGGCCCGCAGCGAGTTTTGGGTCCACACCCCTCTGCCTCCCTCTGCGCCGCCCCTGGAGAGGGGTGTCGCCCCGAAACCCAATGCCCGTGCTCATTATAAATATGCTCAACACGCCGATGATGGTGGCAACATCCAAAAACACTCACGTACACACGTTACGCACACACTTGCAGCATGCTCAAACACAAAGTTGGTCAAATAAGTTTTGTTTGGCAAAGTTTGAGGTTTGTATTTCAGAAGAGAAGCAGCAGGAGAGGGGGGAAGAGGTTGTGGTGCTTTTGTTTTTGTTTTTTGTGTGTTTTTTCCCACAGCATCTTTCAACTTGGTTGTTAGCCGTAAATAACAGTTATTTGTGGGGACTCCGCCAGAGATCAGTCAAGTTGATAAAGTCAGCATCGAGGGGGGAAATGATTCATGCAGTGCCACTTTTGGGTTGGTAAATCCCAGATAAAAAATATTTAAGCCAAATACTAGAAATGTTTGGGAATTATATTGGGTTTAACACTCTTTTAAGAGGTTAATAGAGATACTTGTGGCTTAGAAGATTCTTAGGGAATGCCGTAAGGACCTAGTTTCTTATTAAAATATATTTTTTTCTGCTTTTCTTGAATATATTTGTGCTTAAAAACATTTTTATTGGAATTAAAACTCTAATTATTGCTTAAATTTCATAGAAAAAGTTGATTTGTTTGTCCTTCATTATTGTTTATTTAATATTCTTTAGAAAATTCTTGAAAATTGTTAAATTAAATATTCTGTAAAAGAAAAAACCCACTTTATCAAATCAAAAAAAGAAAACCTAGCTTATATTTATGTAAATAATATTATTTAATAATTAACAAAAGTTTCAGCTCGGTTTTTATGTCGAACATCTTGTCCAAATTAAAGCCGAATTCGTTAATATTTGGCATTCACAGCAGAACAATTTCGTTTTGGGACAAATGAAAATGAAAATGCTTTCATAATTATTGGTCATATTAGGTGTAATTGGGGGCCATTTGCATTTCCAGATCGAATTTTGAAGTTTTTTTCTCTGGCTGGTTTCGGTTTATGGTCTCTAATTTGCTCAAACGATATTAAATGAATGCGTGTGCAGCATGTGTATGGCACATGCATGTGGAAGCGGGCTTCAATCAAATGCTCAATCAAGCGCATGCACATGTTATGTTTATTTAATTGGCCGACATTAAAATTGGTTCAAAATACACGCTGCTGCTGCTGCTGCTGCTGCTGCTGCTGCTGCTGCTGCTATGTAGCTCCTCCTGTTTGGCCTTCTCCTGGCGCGTATAATAATATAATTTATGATGACAGCCGGGCCTTCCATAGGCAGCAGCTCCTAATGGTGCCTGAATTTCGTCATAAAGTATATGGAATATATAGCAAAAATGCTATACAACACAATGGGCCATCAAATGTGGCCAATAAAATACAAAAAATGATATTTTAGTACCCTCATTGAGAAAAGACTCTTTAATTTATTGCATATATCTCTGTAGGTTTTGTTTCTAAGTTTATATTTTGGGTAGTCAAAATTAAGACATTTTTGTAGTAAAATTATACAATGATTACTTGTTTGTTGTTACTTGTAATAACTTGAATTACGTCAAGAAAATTATAAATTAATAGAATAATAAATAATATTAAATGTTATAATACAATAATAATTTAATAACTTGAAATACGTCAAGAAAATTATGACTTAAGAGAACAACAAAATTCAAAACAATTGTTTTAATTGGAAACTTTAACAATTTCAAATATTAAAAAGGTATTTTATGTAGTATAGCAACCTTACTATAGATTTATCACAAAATCCTGTACTTTTAGACTTTAAAAACATTAAAAATGAATTAAAAACCAAACAATAAACCCATTAACTAATAAATTTTCTTGGTAAATATTTGTTTACCTCGATACAAACATTTTAAACAATTATTTTAGCTCGAAAATTTCACAAATTAAAATATTTAAAAGGTATTTTATATAGTAAAACAACCTTACTATAAATTTTTCTACACAATCCTGTACTTTTAGACCTTAAAAACAATTAAAATTAATTAAAAACCAAACAATAAACCCATTATTTAATACATTTTCTTTGTAAATATTTTAAACAATTATTTTAGCTCGAAAATTTAACAAATTGATATATTAAGAAGGTATTTTATATAGTAAGACAACCTTACTCTATAGTTTTCCACACAATCCTATCCTCCTTGACTTCAAAGGAACTAAAAATATTTGTTTACCTCGATAGAATATATCAAAATTAATTAGTTTTAACCATTTTTCAGGGCGAGACAACTGGTCAATCGGAGCATGTGGTCATCATTGTGATTGTCTTTGGACTGATTCTTGGCGGAATGGTCATTACCTTTATTGTAAACTGCATCCGCAAGATAATACGGGATCAGAAGATAATACGGGTGAGTATTGCGAAACTTGGAATGCCCGTGTGAAATTTACTTTTAGTCTCTGCTCGCGCGTGTCCCTACATTAAGTACTGCCACCACCACCCCCAAGAAACCACCCAGAAGCTAATCAAAAACCACCTGCCACCTGCCACCTGCCACCCGCCTGCAGCTCTCTCTTCCCCCACTCTCTCTCTCTCTCTCTCTGTCTCTCTGTCGCTCGTTGTGTGCTTGAACCACAAAAAAAAAAATAAATAAATAAAAATTAAAAACAAAAATTATGATAAGTAAACCACCTCCTTAGCAAACCCCCTAAAAAATAGTCTCTTAAATGTGGCAACAATTTAATTTTCACACAGACTGTATACATTTCTTTTTTGTTGACTTAGTTTTAGATATTTTGCAAATGATTCAAAATAATAATATATATAATAATATATATAAATGAATATGAAAAGCACACCACCAAAAATTCACTTGGAAAAATTACACAAAAATTAAGATAGAATAAAATATTTGAAGGAAGTAATACATACACTAATTGTTCATAAATAGAGCAATATTATACAAGCAACATTTTCATATTTCATACATCAAAAAATCTATTTAAAATCAAAAAATTAAAAAAGACAAGTGCAGCAGCTAGTTTATAGTTTCGTTTATATTTTTCTATATATATTTTTTGTTTACATTTACATAATTAATTGAAAAAACAACACCACTTTAGACAGAGTTGGGGCTAAAATAATTCAGTGTAAATTCCAACTAATTTTGCGTGTAATTACATATGATCAGTGCCTACTTATAACGCCAACTCGTTTTGCATATGTGAACATAATTAGCATTAACTGAGCTTGACTGCTTGACAGCTGAAACAACGATATATGGGTATGGAAAATCGGCACAAAACTGACAATTAGAGACCAATTAGTATGGCAATTTGCAGTGTGATCAGAGTTCTATATCAAATAACCACAAATACTACATACCATATATGGGGTTCAAAGTAATCTTCTCATAATTAAATGCATGATTCCAAGATCAAAATCAAATGAAGCCACACACAACATATTCTTGGAGTGACGCATGTCACTCAGCTTGTGATTGCAATTAATTATTAATGGTAATTGTTACCAGGCATTCGCACATCATACTTATCTAACCGGGGCATTCCAACGAGATTCGATTTCAATTAGCGGGGGGGCACCACAAATTCGGGTAACTTTAATCGATGGACCAGTGAATGGGGTATGGGCAATGGGGAATGGGGTATGGGGTATGGGGAATGTCTCTGCAGGACATTAGTAAAACAATAATACACAGCTAGGATAGGAATCCTGTCGCCGCTGTCTGAGGAGTTACTGAAATGCGCGCTCTGCTGGCCACGCACTCTCAGGGTTTTTGCTGCCTGCCAAGAATTTCATAGACATGCAGAATGTCCTTTTCCGCGAGCAGAATATACTATATCCTGGCCCCCCTTCGCCGCGGAAGGCAGCATTTCTAATGCTGTCTGACACTTTGAAATGTAAAATAGACTTTGACTCCTGAGCCCGAGGTGGTTAGAACCCAGCCCTAGCCCATTCCTAATCCGGCTCACTCTGAGGAGCTGTCAGTGTGGGGGGTGTGGAGACTGTGGTGTGGTGTGGGGTGTGATCTGTGTGGGGTTGTTGGGCTCTATCCCCCAAGTTGACTAATCAATACAAATGAAATTTGTCAGTTGAATGGGCAAAATATGTCAGAGGTGAGAGTGCCTTACAAGAAGTAAGCCAATTCTTGGGTTAAAACATTACATTTGAATTAGAAAAACTTCAGGCTTAATATTTTGTATTAAATATAAATAAAAAATAATTATATATACATTTTTTATAGTAAAGAAATATTTAAAAATCAAATTAAACTATATCTTAAATACTTTTTAAACCTTTTTGCTGGAAAATCAAAATGTTAAAAATAGTTATATATAAAATATCTTTTGCTACTATACATCATCCAGCTTTTAATTGTGTATTTTCCGTGTCACGTTGTCATATCTGGGGAAAAGCGGAAAACCCAAAAGTACACAAGCTGGAATTCGAGAGTTGCCTGAGTCTGTTTAATCAAGCAGCAGACCGCGTCTATAAATATATGGCCACCACTCGCACACACACACACACACACACGCAAACACACTTAATTAACTCGCTGGCAAACATTTCTTTTTGGAGGACCTCCGCCTGCTCCTGCCTCCTGCCCCCTGTCCCCAACAATATTCAATTTGGCCCCGAAAAAAAAAAAAAAAAAACAAAATAAAATAAAACCGAAGTCAATGTCAAATTGAAGCTCCAATGCGAGTATGACCCCCAGGGGAGACAGAAAATACCATGAGAAATGAAGTGAACTGAGATGAAATGACTTTTGCCAGGACAACAAGCTGAAGGACTAGAAGGCAGACACGCAGAACGCAGGACCCTTGACAACCAATGATAGCTGCGGCTGCTTCCTGATATTGATACAGACACCCAGCGAAACCTTATGTGGGGAATAATACCAATGAATAATTTAATTAGCCACAAAAAACAAAAAAAATTATTTAATTATAAAGCCAAGCCAGAAATTGGGGTACAGAAATGGGAATAGTATGTCACCTCATAATTAAAACTTGATTTTTGCCACACACTTAATTGAAATGCCAAAGGTGTGGATTATGCAATAAATTCAATTAACCAGCCACGCCCACGGCAGCCATGATTTATGACATTTAATATGTGAAAAAAAACCCAGCAAATTGTTTCGTTTAAACTGCAAATAATGCAGTTGAAACCCTTTAAGCCGTGTTAAGTTTGGGGCGAAGGGTGGTAGGTTCCGTCAAAGCTCGCTCCCGCCAAATTGCAGAACAGCAACGCGCGTTCACTGACTCTCCAACAAAGCCTTCTCCCCCTCTTAAAATGCCACAGCAAATGGAACAATGGGGCTGGCCAGGCGCGGTGCACTCAATTTGAAAGGCATACTTGCGGTCATGACCACCGAGGAGAATGCATAAACAAACATACCCCCAAAATAGACTTTGAGCTTTTGCACACAAGACTAACTAACTGGTTCAACTCTGGCTTGGTCTCAGGTGGTGAATTATCTTTTTTGCGTACAGCTTTGCCTCACTGGCCCATTGTACTGTAGGTGAAACCTGAGCTCTGGCACAAAGCCTCAATCTGATTATCGCTTCGAGTGTTAGATGGAAGCTGGATGATGCCTGATGGGTTTAGATTTTCCACACACCACCTGGGATGATGCACCGCGCGCTCCCTGCTGATTTACCCCCGGGACTTTAAACGATTTTCGGGGGCGTTTGGAAATTATGCCATCAATAAACGCGCAGAGGGAAGAAGGTTGGGAAAAAGGTTGGAAATTTTTTCATTTATTACCGGAATCGGGGCCAGTCTCTACCGCATTTATGAAACTGCAGCACATCACATAAATTTGCACAAAGCGCACATCAAATCAAATCGAATCGAATCGAATCGAATCGATTCAAACTGAACTGAATCGTAGCGAATCAATTCAGCGTCAGCAGTTTTGATAAAATCATTCAGATCGCAGGAGATGATGGCTGTCCGGCACTTTAATATCCCATTTTTGGCCACCGAATGGCGTCCAGAAAATGTTTGTATTTGTATTCTGTATGGTGGAAATCCGCAAGGAAAACGACCGAACCATAAGCATTCGCACATATAATAAAACTTATTTCCATATTCCCCCAGCCGAATCCTTTGCCCTTGTCCCCTCTTCCCGTTTTGGCTTTTGGCAATGGCTTCCATTCTCCTCCATCTTGAGTTTCTTCAAGGCCTCAGCTCTATTCTTTCTTGGCCCACACAGACTCTGGGAAATTTCTTGTTCGCAAAATTTTCTGTTGCCACTTAGATTTTAGCATGTAGATAAGCAGAAAAAGTATTTCCGCTCACTCGTGCACACTCGAAATCAGCGAGGAGGATGCAATTTCTTTATGCCCACCATCTCCCCCCCGTAACCCACTCGTAACCTTTCTTCCTTTTCTCAACTTTTTTTTTTTTGGGAATCCCAAACACAGACGAGGGTCGCTACAAAACGAGAAAATAAAATTGAAATAGAAGAGGGAAGACAAGGTGATGAGGCCCATAATTCATCATAATAGATGTCCCACTTTCCACAAGATAAAGGTGCTGAGGTTTTTTTTTTGTCGGAAAATCGGGGAAATCAGAAAGGAAATGCTAAGATGAGGAATTGTATTTAAAGATGACTTTATAATTTCTGTATAGTTTTGTAAAGGGTTTTTAGTAATTTGAAATGAAATTATATTTCTTTCAGTAATAAATATTTAAAATATGAAATATAGGCCAAGATTTGGTATTATTTTAACCAGTTATTTAATAAATAAAGGTTAAGGCCATGCCACATTTAAAATGATATAGAGAAAAGTCCTTGTTAATAAATATAATATCAATAAAATATATAAAAAGTAATGTAATGTAATCAGTAAATTCTTAATACATTTTCTAATTAATAACTAAAACAGTTTAAATTAAATTAAAGTTTATTAGTATTAGTAAAAATATTTTTATTTTAACAAATCCCAAAAGTCGTTGTTCAAGCTCTTGAAATCGCAGATTTTTAACATTTAAAATCAATAATTATATAGAAAATATCTTTAAATATTATTAAAAAAACAAAAAACAAACCTAAAGTTAATCTCCAACTTACTGATGACCAAATTACCTGGCTGCAATTTATACTTTCTGGTTATTTGCTTCAAGTACGCATTTTATTACAGCTTTGGGGTGCAGTTTTCCCTCATTTTTTGCGTGATAAATGTGCCCAGCTGCAATTTGCCAGGGATTCCCCCCCGATGGGATTTTAGTGAAAACTCGCTAAAAATCTCATCATGGCAATTCATCCTCTCAAGCGCACCTCGCTCGGCAGGGCGGCCAAAGGGGGAGGGAGTAACATTCGTATCCTGTCACCTCACACCCTCCATTCTGGCCAAGTCTGCGTTCTGGCCGCATCCT